GCTGTTTTAATAGCTTTCATTTTCCATGCACCATTCTTAAAACAACTGTCCATCTATCTGTCTGCTGCCATAGACACACCAAAATGTCTCTTATTTGACCCTGCAAAGTGCAAACACATTGCTCACTCAAGAAAATGTAATGTAGAGAAGTAATTGGTTGAGGCTATGGTAGACTTCTTGCTTTGTGTGAAAAGATTCCAGGCTCAATACCTGGCTAGACAATCTGGCTAGACAAGCCCCTTCTAAAGCTTCCTATGTTCATTCATTGTAGTGAGGATTCATATTTTCGATGATGAACATACTTTGCATGCAAAAGTCTCATAATATGGCAGGAATACCGTTGCTTGATGCCTATTAGAGTAGACCCATTCAATCGATTGTTGCATGGTGAATCAGCATGCAGGTATATATGTCACATGGTACCTGGATAAGCACTTTGTCTTTAAGTATTCCAGACCCTTGCTGACCCACAATTTCCTATGGAATCCTGGTGCTTGTAGTTTGGTGAAACAGTAGATCTCTCTAGCTGATTCTCTGAAACCACAACACACCACAACCCACAATTTCAGATCCCAGGAGCTTTGGTTGTTAAAGTAGAATTAATATACTAATTACAAGTTGAGAATCTCTTATCTGGAAATTTGAAATCAAAATACTTTAAAATTCAAAAATGTCTACATTGGTTTTCTGATGGTTCATTGAACTCAAACTTTGTTCCATGCACAAAATTATTAAAAATGTGTTGTATAAGATTACTTTCAGGGTATGCGTACATATACGAAACACACCTGAATTTTGTATTTAATGTTGGGTGCCATCTCTGAAATATCTCATTATGCATGTTTATAGAAATGCAAATACTTCAAAATCCAAAAAACAATAAAAAATGCTTCTTGTCCCAGGCATTTTAGATAAAGGATATTCAATCTGTATTAAAATCTGCACATCAGTCCAATATTTATTGTTGTAATGCATTGGTCTTAATATCTAACCCCCTATGTTTAGAATCCACTACGAACAAGCCTCCAGAAAACTCACCAAAAGATGGCTGCAGCGTGTGGGCTGATAAAATGTTCTCCACCCCAATCTGTGTTAATATGCTCTACTAGTATATA